ACTAGTGGTGAAAAACATGTGGCTCAAATGCAACTTAAATGCCTTCCAAATTAAATCTAGTTTAGTCTAATTAGCCTATTTAAGTAATCCTTCCATATTCCTATTCTAATGGCTTAAATACAATGGCCAATCAAATACAATGGAAAGGAAAAATTACAAGGATTAAAATGAGTCCAATATTGGGTACCAAAAGCCCAAAAACCCATGGAGCCCAAAACTAGGCCCAATAAGCCTAAAGCCCAAAAAGTCATATACTAAGGTCCATAATACAAGACCAAACCAAATGAAATCCTACACTACTCATCATGCAATAAAAAGGTGGTCACCCATGCAAAGCCCAAGTGAAGAGTACCCTAGGCCCACCAGGCCCATTGGGTCCACTAAGCTTTGAAGCAGTCAAATCTTCAAGTAGTCTTCTGGCCATAGCTCTAGTGGTTGGTCCCTTGGTCCATACTCTTCCATCATCCCCTCCCTCTTGAGAAGGATTTGTCCTCGAATCTAAGGAGTCATCCTCATCATCACTAGCTCCTACAAAAGGTTTTAAATCACTAACATTAAAATTAGGGCTAACACCATAATCAGAGGGTAAATCAAGCCTATAAGCATTATCATTGATATGTTGTAGGAGTTTAAAGGGTCCATCTCCTCGGGGACTAAGTTTTGACTTTCTTTGTTGAGGAAAACATGTTTTCTAAGATGAAGCCAAACCCAATCACCTTCCTTGAAGATCATGTTTCTTTTGCCTTTATTACTAGCTTTGGCATATCTCTCATTTTGTTGTTGTATATGAGATTTAATCCTTTCATGTAGTTTTTTTACAAAATCAGCCCTTGAAGCCTCTTCCTTATGTATAAAATGATTAACATTAGGGTGGGGTATCAAGTCTATAGGAGTCAAAGGGTTAAATCCATAAACAACCTGAAAAGGAGAAATATTGGTAGTTTTATGGACTACCCTGTTGTAGGCAAACTCAATGTGTGGTAAATACTCATCCCAAGATTTGTGATTACCCTTCAAGACAACTCTAAGCATAGTAGATAGAGACCTATTGACTACTTCAATTTGACCATCATTTTGAGGATGGAAAGTAGTAGAAAAAAGGAGTTTAGTTCCTAGTCTTGACCACAAGACACACCAAAAATGGCTTAGGAACTTAATATCTCTATCAGACACTATGGACTTAGGGAGTCCATGAAGCTTAACCACATCTCTAAATAAGAGTCTAGCAATGTTGCTTGCATCATCCATATTGTGGCATGGAATAAAATGGGTCATTTTGCTAAAGCGGTCCACTACCACAAAAATATAATCCATTCCCCTTTTGTGTTCTAGGCATAACTTTAGACTTAGCTTGTAAACAAGCCACACATCTAAGGCAATGCCTTTGGCAACAACTTAAACAACATGATCAACTCAACAACACAACTCAACTCAACAACTTAAATAGCATGATCAACTCAACAGCTTAACGGCTCAACTCAAAATCTACAACTCAATCATCATAAAATAATATCTTTCAACTACAACATACAACTTTATAGCAATATACAACTTTCCTCTAACAACTTAGAAACACAGTCTACTAATAACTTCTATATAAATCTCAACACATCTACACACTTCACATCATGCTTCTCACAACTCACAATATTATCATCATGCAATTCACAGCTTTCAACTAGATCATTTCATCCTATATCACAACATATAAATGGTCCACACATAACATATAACAACTTTAACAACATATCACATAATCAACACATTTCTAATTAGCACAATAACTCATTTAGCACCTATACACAACTACACAGCTCCACAACTCAACTACAACATGTATCTCATTTATCACAAAAACATCACCAAACAGCATCATTAATCAATATTATCAAAACACAACATTTTCATCACATAACATAACTCATACTACATGTTTACAACCCATCTATCATGCCAACTTACCCACCCAAACAACACCAATCAACCTAAGCACCTAAAACAACTTTCAACTTAACCAAATCACTTCTTATAAAATGGCAACCTTCATATAAAATATCATATCAGGAGTTATACTACTCCTACCATTATCATCCTTATCTCTTATGAAAGATAAGAAGATTTCCTACAACTCTCCTAAAGACACCAAGTCCTAATTCCTTCATCTACCTTGTTAAAAATTCTAAAAACCGCAACAACTATAACCAATGCTGGAAACTTGACCCCCCTACACTAAAATAGCCATATCTGGAGTTCTAGATCTCCTTTTTGGTGATTCCAGCGCCATTGGAAAGCTAACATCCAAGGCTACAACTTTCATGCAGACTTAAAGACCAACATACTCAAACCCGGTGCAAACTCAAACAGAGACTCACAAAGAGTCTCCACGCCTGGCGTGACTAGCCTCGCGCCCGGCGTGATTTGACACTGGTGACCTCAGATGAATGCACGCCTAGTGCCAAGAACGGCGCCTGGGGCATATTCAACCAGAAACCTCGAAAATTCCTTCAAAACCTGAAAATCAATAACTTCAACCACATGCAATCCACGAAATGCAACATATAGAATCCCTATAACTAAAAAACGAGTTCAGATTCAACATGCAACCAATCAATGCATCAAAATTGACAAAAACCCCATTTTTCCTAAAACCCTAAAAATGAGGAAATCACCCAATTCAACCACTTCTTCTCGAATTCCATACATTAATGGAGTTCATAAACTCCCATGCAACCAAACAACATACATTCTAGCTTCCCTTACCTGAAGATTGGCTCCAAACAACCAAGAATTTGGGAAGAAGAGAACGTTCCTCCGAGCTCAACTCCCAAGCTTTAATCCTTCAAAATCAAGCTTCCTAGCCTAGAGTTCTTCTCTCTAAAACTTCTCTCTAGTTTCTTTGAGAATGAACTTATGAAGTTCCTTTCTCAGAGAAACTCTTATATACTCTTCTCTCTCTAGAGTCAACTAAACTCAAAAATCTCCTCACTACGTTATAGAAAACATCATCGATCTCTAGCAAAAATTGTGGGGGGGGGGGGCAACTTGAACTTTAAATTGAAGAGCCAATTTTTGTTGTTTAAGTTTCTAAATGATCAAAATCAACACTTTTTTTTAATACGTAAGAGGAGGAGAGGGGATATTTTTCTAGAAAACATCAGCAATCTATAGCCGAAATTATGGAGCGTGCAACTTCAACTTTAAACTAAAGATCCAATCCCAAGAATCTAAAATAAAATTTATGATTAGTGAATTTGTTAAGAAGTTAGTTACATATATGGATGGCCCAATAAAGTATATGGATTAAAGGGATGAAGATGATACTCATAAGAAAGATAGAGAACATATTGATAATGAAGAAACATATTGTATTGATTGGAAAAAAAATTAAATTCTCTCCTTTTTCTAATTGCAATTTTGTCTCTTTTATTTTAAAATAAAAATATTTACTTTTGTATTTTTAAAATTATAAACTTTTAGTTATATCATTTATTTGATATTTGTGAGTAATTAAATTTTAATATTTTTCGATGACCTGCAATCATTCAAGCAACATGATATATAAAAATAAAAATTGAAAAATAATATACAAAACATTTTCATTTCTATCTATTTAAAATATTTATTTTATTAATAAATTTTATTTTCATGTTTATTTTTAAATTTTTAAATGTCATATTACTAAATGTTACATCAGATAAATATGTATAAATGTTAAAACTCGACGATTAATAGATGTTAATTTGATGGGAGAACCAAAATTTTCATATTTTTAAATTATGAATTAACAAAAATAAAGAGAGAAAAAAATATAATTTAACCTTAAAAAAAATGATAAAATGAATTTCAAATAATCTTATTTATAGATTTTATTGGACTAAATTTCATATATGTAATTACTTAACAAACTAACTCATCATATACTAATATTTATGAAAATCTTAAATTAGCTTTTTTCAAACTAGAAGTGAAAATCTAAACAAGGATTTGAATTGACACTTTAGTAAATTCACCTAAACAATCATAATGATTATGGGAAAAATCATTGTCCAATTAACCACACTTGGATCAACCTATCTGCCACTACAATAAAATGAAACATCAAACATGTTCTCCCAAGGGGGTTTGTGGCAGATGAGCATCAAAAATAGTACGCAACATAGAAGAGAAATTATTATTAGTTCAAGAGTATATTAATAACTTATTTAGAATAATTTTTTAAAAAATTAACTAAATTTTTTATATATTTATTTTTAGTAGAAAAGCTTCAAAATTATTTCAAGTTTGTGTCGTTCTTAGCGTTCATGGTCTTTAATCATAACATGACCTATATTTAATTTTTTTTTTAATTTATAAGAAGATAATAATACTTAATTATTGTCATATAAAAATTAAACAAGATTCGCTTTTTTAATGTTATATTTAAATTAAATAATATGCTCACCGCATAAATTAAGGTTTGAGTATAATATCGTCCTATATATAAGGAAAAAGTTAGAGGCAGTTAAGAACTTGCTTTCAATAATTTGTGAAGTTATAAAATATGTAAATATTATTCTTGAAAAAAAAAATGAAAAAACATAGGTAAAGTCTAAGTTCGAATATTGATTATGCAAGTCTGTAAAAATTCGGAAAGAAAACTCAGTCATTTATAATATAATATATACATATACATACATATATATACATATATATATATATATATATATATATATATAATTTCTGCTATTTAGTGTATGTTTGATTTTATATTTATGATTCTCTTTTGAATAAAATTTACAAAAAAATTAATAAAAGTAATTAATTATTATATCTATTAATTTAGATTTATCCAAAATTAATATGAATGAAACATATATTTGGCTTCATCAAGCAATAAGCTACAAATAATAGAATAATATTTTTCTTCCATTTGATGAGAAAATACAAATGACTTGATCGGACACTTTTAGTCAACTATCGAATACGAGGTCGAGAATTCGTGGTCTTAGAAAGAAAAGAATCTTGTGGAAGAAAATATTAGAAGAGTTACTTAACTTGAAGCTTCATTCAAAATTGTACTGTAGATGAGTCCATGTTAGCTTATAAACCCCACACTAGTAGCTCTTGTGCACTTATTCCCTCCCTCCTCTTTCTTGGGGAAGAAGAAGAAGAAGAAGCAGAGTTTTCTCTCACTCTGTTACATTACATTGCAGTGTAAATCTGTATGAAAACTAGAATGCTCAAATGCCTCTCCTTCAAATCATCCACCTCATCCTCCACAGTCCAAAACCCCTCCCAAGGTAACTAACAAACTATCTCAAAAACATCCCTTTTTATTTGCTCATTCATGCATTTACTAACGAAACGCACCGTTTCGCAGATGAAACACCCAGCATCTCTGGCGAGTACCACCTCGCCGTGCACACCACATCCTACACGGAGATCCGCTCGAGCGTGGAGGCCCAAGCCCACCACCTGAAGCCCACGCGCGAGCGCGTCCACGAGGCCCTCCCATCGACCCCCACGGGCCTCACGCGCCTCCTCTCGACCTTCTTCGACCACACCGAAACCGCCTCCGACCTCTGCCTCCAGCTCCGCGGCT